GGACTGCAGAGGGTGCAGGATGCTGAGCTCAAGGCTTCAGACACTTCAGGCCCATGCCTGTGTGCAGTGGGGACATACTGAAGGGTTTAACGAGAGGGTGTGACATGGTCAGAACTAGAAAGATCTTGGCAGTTGAGTGAGATCCGAGGTGCCAGAGGATATATAAATGGAATTGGAGAGAACAGTCCTGGGTGCTGGCTCCAGGACAAAGAGCTGCCATGGTGATTACAAACCCACCTGGCCAGCTGGGCCTGCGTTCTTCACCTGTGTGGCAACTTTTATGATGGTTAATCCAACAAACATCCTGTATTTCTTAATTAGGGTTAGGCTTATCGGGTGGCAACCTATCTTCTGGTTACCTTAGGTGGTTTTTAGTTTCCTTTCCTCATTAAAGTATGAGGAAGTGCAGGATGCACCCTCCCATCAGCTATGTTATCTTGATGTCCACCTCTGCACCAAGGTCCCAGTGTGGGGCCTCAGGTAGGACATCTGTGCCTCAGAGCAGCACCCTTGGCTCCAAGAGGCTGAATGTGCCAAAACCCTAGTGGGATTCTCAAACACTGGCGGGCTCGGACAGGAGAGCGGAGGACAAACAGCAATGTTTGTTCTCCATCTCAACTGGTAAACCACCATCCAACCCCACTTCTTGTGAGATGTAAGTTGTTATCGTGATTGGAGGGGCCTAAGCCAAAATGGTGTCATTTTGATGTCATTATCCACTATCCTCTGACCCCATGGAGGCCACACACACCAGAGGGAGCGTCTCGATGCTGGCACTGAGTAACTGAGGAGGGGTGAAGCAGGAGGCAGGGACAGCAGTAAAGATTTGTCACCACAGTACTGGGGCGAGGAAATAGGCAACAAGAATGGGAGCAGGGGTGTGGCAGGGAGAAGAAACTCAAGTCACAGCAATAATAGCTAATGTTTACTGAGAGTCCACCATGTGCCAGGTCCATGCAGTAGGTATTAAAACCTTCTCAGCTCCATGCAGTAGGTATTAAAACCTTGCCCTCTCACCAAAGCGGAAACTGAGGAACTCAAATAAAAGAACTCAAGCCTAAGGTCACCAGCTGGGAAGTGGCAGAGCCAGAACCCAGGCAGTCTGAGCTGGAGCTTACTCCAAGCTCTGAATGCGGGCTCTGAGAAACACTTTAGGGGAGGGACTAACTGGCCTTGAGGAGAAATACTGCCCATGCAGTGGGAGGGCTCTAGGATCAGGAAAGGGGTTTGAGCTGCAGCTCTACTGTTACTTATGTGACATTCTACCTCCCCTCTCTGAGCCTCAGTTTCTTCACTTGTGAAATAGTGCAGATGTTTTCATACTATCTGGCCTCAGGGGTCCAGGCAAATCCCAGCAAAGACTAGGGGAAGTTAAGAGAGGGAGATGGGGACATGGGCCCTCTTCAAGTAAAATAGCACTATTGTGACCCACTGTAGATGGAGGGTTGTTTAGCATTTTAATGGGGGCAGAAGGAGGTTCTCAAAAAATCTGTTTGAGAACCCCTGGACTAGATGTCTCAGAGACCCCTCTTATTTTAAGGATTCTTTCTCTCTAATATTAAATGGGGTGGGGGGGGGGCGGGTGATGAAGAGTCAAAATGACAGCAGGGTGCCTGAGACAGGGAGATGCTGAGAGGCTCTAATGACACCTATTTGCTCAATAGTACACAAAGGTCAAAGCCAGATGCTACAAACTCCCTTTGTTTCTCTTAAATTACTATAAAACAGAGAACACAGGAAGTTTCTAAGTTGTAAATGGGGGAATAAAGCAAATGTTTCTCCCTGGGCCTCTTTTTTTTTACAGGCTTAGGTTTATCATCACTTTATTACGTGTTCTTTATAGCTATGAGACAGATAATATTTTTCACAGGTAAAGTAGGGCAGAGAGTTCAAGTTTTTTCTTAGACCTGGTTATCTGGAAGTCAGTCTGTACTTTCGCAGAGAAATAACCAGAGTGGAGTTGGAGCAGAAGAAATAAAATTAGCTGGAGGAGAAGGCGGTAGAGAGGAAAGATTCTCCTAAGGTGAAAAATTAACTCTTGGAAGAGACGGAAAAGATGAAGAGGCAAAAAGATATGGGTGAGGGAGAGAGGAGATGATACTCAGAAAGCTGGGGGGGGGGGGGGAGAGAGACATAAATATGTTTGAAAAACTAAAAATAAAATATTTCCAATGCAAAGCAGCAAATAGAAAAGATAGGAGGGAGGGAGAATGGGGGAGTCTCAGTATCCTAGAGAAAGTAAGAAGGTGGAGGGGCTGCCTCCTTTCCCCAAAATGTGATCCACAGAACATTCATTACTTGAGACGGTTCTTGGAAAACAGTTCTCCAGTCAAACAGGCTCAGGGAACAGGCTGAGCACTTCTGGAGACTATAATGCACACTAAGTCCATGAAGCCTCTGCAGGGATGAGACCTGCTTCACATCGTTCAATCCAGCGTTCCTCAAATGCATTTGGCCTCAGGTCTCCATTTTGGAAAGCACACTTTGAGAGAAGCCCCAGTTTAGGTGTGCCTAGAGTTGCCAGCTCGGCAGTGCCACTGGTCCACGTTGGCGTGCTTAGCTTTTCCGCCAGCTCGGATTGAGGCAGGCAGGAGCAGATAGCTGGTATAGGACATTTGGAAATCTGTTGTTTGAAACCTGAGGATTATCGATACAAATTATATCATAGGAATTTAAGATGGTGGCTGAATTTTACTGGTCCAATATTTGTTTTGGCTTTATAATTGAACAGGGAAGTCTTACATTCACCTAAAATATGCTATATATGCAGGGTGCCAAAAAAAATGTACACACACAACTTGTACTCATCTTTTGTTATTGGTATATATTGAATATTACAATTTTAATAGTTTCCTGTCTTAAAACGTGTATACATTTTTGGGGCACCCTGTGTCTGCACACACACACTCTAGCATCTTCTCCTCTAGTCTTCCTTGACCATAGGTAGTCACCTAAATTTAAAAACTGCATCATCACTCACTCTCTTATACCTTCTTTACCCAAGCATATATTTCAGTGTATACTTAGATGCCGTCCAGACCCCAAATGTCTATTTTGGCTCAGGAAGATTTGTGGGAGGCCATCAGATGCCTTGATAAATGAGATCTCACAACATTGTGTCTACAGCGTATCGCTCATCTACTGGTACACTAACTGTCAAAGAGAGAAAGGAGATGCAGCTGGCAAGGCTTGTTCTTAGTAATCCCTCCTGGCTCCCGGTGATGGTGTCTTCCTCTTCCAGGCACTCCCTGCCATTGCTTTCATAACGGGCTCCTGAATCTGCCCATGATCAGCACGTGCTCATTGGCATCAGACAAGTGTTCTTCGACGACAAGAGCTTTTCTTAAACAGATTTTTGTTGGATTTAAGTGGCCTGGGCATTTACCTGTTCTCTCTTCCAATCTCCTATATTCTTCTAACTTGACCCACAACCATCTTGCTCACAGATTTTCTGTCCATGCTTCACTTGGCCAAGCTTGGACTCAAACAGCCCCAGGGGGTTTGCCCCTACCTGCCCTCCCAGCCTTGAGCTTGGTTACCTCGCAATGGCGCTGTTCTGCGCTTTCCTACCTGACAGACTCAGCTGGCCCTGCCCTTTAACTTCTGCTACTTTCATACCCAAAGTTTATCTAGATCTCCAGGAACGTGCAAGGCTCGTGTCTGCCTTTCAGTTCCTGTTCACTGGCCCCAGCTGAGATGCCCATGTCTCCTTCCATTCTTTAGAACCTAGTTTGTATCCTAGATCTTCCAGGTCCTTCCTCTCTCCTTCCTGAGCTCCCGGAGCATTTGGCAGCCACCATCCAATCAGACACTATTTGGGATTGTTAACAAACTGTTCCCTGGAAGGGCCCCACTTGCCATGAGTGGGGTTGGAAGCTTCAGGGCAAGTAGAAATGGGACCTTACACCTCTTTAGCATCTCTCCACAGCAACTGGTGCAGCACTATGCACAGCAGTCCTGAGAAATGCTTGATGGATACACTGCTGCTGATTCCAGCTTCCCTTATTGTCCAAGGGAAGGCACACAAAGCCCCTCACTTTGATGGAAGCTGTCAACTACCAACAATCTACCGCAAGCAGATCCGAAGTTTATCTGGAAGTAACATGGACACTGGGCCTTTTAGAAATGGGCATATTCTGTGTCTTCTGATGAATTTCAAGAAAATTTGGTATGCAGATAAGTTCGGTGTGTTGTTGTACCTAGGAGGTTACAGTCTAAAGATATGAATTTAAGTATTCAGAATAAACTTGAAATAGCAAAGGTATACTCTTGGAAAAATAATAATGCTCCTCCGACTGGAAATAAGCAAAGTTTTTTCAACAGTACTGCCTCTTAGATTAATCAGATTCTCCAGGTCATGGTGCTGGAGGCTGACATGTCTTCAACATTCGTTTCTTAAGCAGGGCTAAGCCCAACACACACACGGATCAGACACAGTGAGATGCTCTCTTTCCTCAGACTCAGCCCAGTCCACATGATGCTCAGCCGCCCATAAATCAGACTTCCCCAGACATTTTGCTGGAGTCTGGCATCCAGGCCTGAACTAAGGGTGTGTCTCCTGTGGGTACCCCACAAGATGCAGTTAAAGCAGATTACTCTGAAGTTGCCTAACAGTCTGACATCTAAATGGGTGCTTTTGTTTTTTAAAAGGAAAATACACAGCCACCCAAAGACAGGAAAATCAGTGCTTTATTTTGGGGAGAATGAGGGTTGTCATTTTTCTCTTAATTTTGTTGGAAGGCTACTTCCAAAAAAACAAAACAAACAGACAAAACACCTCACCAATGTCCCCTGCCTAAAAAAATTAATAGCAACAAGCAGACATATTACGTGACATTTGGCTCACCTACAGTGTTTAAGATAAGGAGGATGGACATCATTGGTGTGTAAAATGCCAGGTGTCTAGGAAATCCATTCCTTTCCCTAGCCCCCATCATTACTCACACATTTGTGCACACACACACACATTCTCTCCCTCACTCCACCTTCCCTGACATCACCTGGTTGATAACATAGATGCCGTAGTCCAACTGCTGACGCTGCAGGATTGGGTGCAGATAGTGCAGCCAGTACTTTAGGTGTTCCTGCCGGTTTCGGAATGGAATAATGATGGCCACCTTGTGAGGAGAGATGCAGTCCTTTGGGGTGTGGCGACCGCCCGCCTTCACCTCAGGGTTCTGTTTCGCCAGAAGTGTCAAGTCCACAGGCACGTTAAACTCGATCAGCATGGGGCCGACTAGAGAGGTGGAGGGAAGGAGAAGTTAGCAGGCCACAGGACTCACAGCTTTACGGGTTGGGGTCAGATGGCCAGACCGCAGGAGACAGTTTCTCCTAAGAGGCAGTGTGGCCGTGGAAAAAGGCACTCACGCCCAGCACTAGTGTGGCCAACCATCCCAGAAACTCGTCAGTGCCAAGCAAGCCTGGATGGCAGGTCACCCTAGGAAGCACTGACCAATCTAGGACACACTCCCCTCAGACGGTGTTTCTCAACTGTAAAACGGAAATGGGGTAATTCCTGCTATGACTTCCTGACAGGCTGTTGTAAGACTCAGAAAGCATGGATGAGAAAGCACTTTCTCAACTGGCAGTTACAAAATAGTCATGGGGATGTAAAGTACACTGATAGGGAACACAGTCAATAATATTGTAAAAAGTATGTATGGTGTCCAGTCGGTACTAGACTTATCAGGGGGGCTACTTCATTAGTTATATAAATGTCTAACCACTATGCCATATACTGAAACTAACATACAAAATAATATTGGATGTCAACTGTAACTGAAAAAACATATATATGTCGTGAAAAAAAATTTAAAAAGAGAAAGCACTTTCTCAGAAATACTGAGGTTGAGACCTAGCTCTGCCACCACCCATGGGGTTGTGGCTTTGGACAGGTTCTCTCTGAATCTAGCCAGGTTGGGGAAAGAGGTGTGTGTGTGTGTGTGTTTGCGCGCGCGCGCGCGCGCGCGCGTGTGTTTTCAGTGTTGAGAACATCAGAAAGTAGCAAGGAGTAAATAACCCACGTCTCATGGGTTGATGGACAGATGAAATCAACTCGATGGGGAGGGACCGGAGGAAATGAGACCCCAGAGGAGACTCAGGGGGAAAACGAGAGAAAAAAAAACAGTTGGAAAAAATATCAAAGAAGAATGCTTGGTAGAAGGGATGAAGAAATAATAAAGGGGATGAAGAAGGGAGGAAAAGTCAGGGATGACTGCAAAGTTTCTGGCCTGGAAGAACATGGCCAGATAACAGAAATAAGTTAGTAAGAGAGCTCTTTGGCTTAGAAGAAAAATTGATGAGACATGGATGGTGGATTTTGATTTAGTGGCAAGTCAGGAGCAGAAGGAAAGGCAAAGGTCAAGATCCAGACACAGGCATGGAAATCCTTGTCTCCTAAGTAGAAACAGGTGGAGCTAAGAGAGGGTGGCACTCCTCGAAGGCTGGAACTGCTCCTCACAGAAAAGTGAATGCCCAGGGACACACAGTGAATTGGGGACGGAGTCATGACTCGAACCCAGGCCCCCACTATTCCCTGTAAGCCAGATTTTCTCAAAGCGGGTTCCAGGGAACACCAATCTCAGCAAGAGGCTCGGTAAAAGAATATGTCTCCTGATCAAATAATAGTGGACATCCTGCTTGCTAAACCCTGCTTCTGGAAAGTTATGACGTACACCAAGGGCTCTGAGAAGTTGTGCAGTCAAGAAACCCCTTTTACTATATTCAACCCACCATTTCCCAAACTGAGTTGGCCACAGAACCATTTTATCAGGGGGGCACACTTTGGGAACTGTTACTCTGGTGTAACCAGCTTCACCTGTGAAGCAAACTAGCCACAAAAGCAAAGGAAGGAACCTACAGAACAGAGGTGAGAACGCTGACCACAAACGCAGCACAAGATCACCTGAAACATGCCGGTGAGAACCACGCAAGGCCCAGTCAGGCACCCTGTTTATCAATACGTGGCTCTCCAAGCAACCCTGTCCCGAGATCACTCACCCTCTGAAACAAGGCGGCCCGAGGAAAGCAAGCTGTGACTCTTGCTCCTGCCTGTCCGCAGGCTCACCACCTCCTCCTCACCCCTCCCCAGTCCCCGCCAGTACTCCTCACACCTTCCCTCCCTCCAGTGCTGACCCAGTTCCATCCTCAGGGGACCTGTTCCAATTTATTTTATTCTGAGATACAGCTCTGATCATTACTTTACTGCTGAAACCTCCAACGGCTCCAGGGCTGTGTAGCCTTGGACACAGTAAGGCCAAACCTCTTAGCTTGGCAACAAGGCCCTTCAGTCTCAGCTCTCCTGCCCTCCCTCCTCATCATTCTTAATAAACCACACACCTATGTTCACACTTTTCCCTTTGCCAGAAATGCCACTCCCTCTTTCCTCTAACAGCAAACCTCTGGCATTGAAAGATGGGTCAGAATCTTAAAATCAAAGCCCCAAGCCGGCCTCCTCCTTTTCCTGTCTCCATTACCCCAGGGCTCAGGCGGCAGATCCCCTGGGGCGTGAAGGGGATCCTCAGAGTTCCAAAGCCAGGTCCGCCCTGGCCATTCACTTCCCTCTCTGAAGAGACAGGGCCCTCACAAATGAGTCCCTCACAGACTGCCTGCTTACTCAGCTCCAATTTCCCAGGGTGCCCTCAGGTGAGTAGGCTTTAGGTTCTAGGACTAAGTAAGGGAACACCCTGGACCAGTGTTTCCCAAACCTACCAGCATTCTTGCCTCAGGCAATCTGTAAAAATGTGGAATCTCAGGCCCCTCCCCTAGAGAGCCTGACTTGGCAGATCTTGGGAAGGACCTAAGTGGATAATTAACAAGGAGCCTAGGAGATTCTGTCTGGGCAAGTTGGGCAGTGGGGAGCTGAATCTCCCAGCTTCACAAGCCTTGGGGCTGTCAGGCAACGAGGGTCCTCAGAGTCTCCTACAACTCACACCTCATGGAGGCAGCCCTTCCCCACAGGGCCCCCCAGGCCTGGGCTGCTCAACTGACCAGCCCTGCGCAAAGCCTTCTGAGAGGCCCTGCTGCACAGTGTACTTGTGAAAAACATAAAAGATCTGTCACTGGGCTGGTCTCACTTCAAAGGGCCCCAGGACATCTGCAACCCCCCTACCCCACCCCTCCTTTGGTTTTCAAGATACTGCTAAACATAACCCCATTTTCAGGAACCCAAGAGGCATCTGGGCTGTCACCCTACCAACCTGCTCACACCTTTTGAAACCAGCCCAGAAGACAGGAATTCACATTCGGTCTGCCTAGCCTCGGAGCAGACACCTGCAGGCTGGAAGGCATTAGCTTTGCCCCTTCAGGAGTTTTAGAACGGTGTTCCTGAGGTAGTTTCTTGGACAGGAGAGAGGATGCCTCCGCCCTGGTTCAGCTCCGCCAGTGACTTGCTGACTGGTCTTTAGGCAAGTACCACCCGCTCTCAGGATACTGGCTTCTCATTTGTGAATTACAGGGATCGGAACTCAACCTGCCCCAAACAAACTCTTACCCACCACCACCCCCTCAGCTCCTCCAAGGGCTCCATGGAGAGCTTTACGGCTGATCAGCCTCCCCTCGCCCACCTGCTCACCTCTGCACCCCTCTCACAACCGCCATCATGTCTCCAACACATTGAGAGCACCCTGACCCCTGGATCCTGCCTTCCCTACCCCATCTGGCAACTCTTTCCCCACCTTCTCTCTGTGAAGCCTCCATAGCTCTGAGAATCCTGTGGCTCACACCTCTGAGAGTGGACAGCACTTGGCAGTCAGTGGCAACTCCAGACCTGGAGCTGAATGCCTTCTTGGGTCCAATGCCAACCAGGAGGCCTCCCAGAGTGCCCTGCACACCTCCTACCACACTGCTGAAGCCATCCTCCGCTGCACACCTGGCTCTGTCCCAATGAGAAAATCCATAGAGCTGAGACTCCAGGAGGGGAATAATGACCAGCTCTGCCCAGAACCTCGCAGACCTGTTACCAGGTCTCAGTGCTACTGCTTAGGGTCTCAGCGAGAGGGGGAGGGGAGGAAGCAGAGGGCTGAGGGCTTTATGACAATCCTCGGGCTGAGCCAATGCTCCCTTGCTGTGAGGCGCATGGCGTGTGCTACCACAGGCCCTCGGCCCGCTGGGCTGGCTTGTGTGTTTTCTTGGCTCTGGGAGCTGGGAAGCAGGGTTACGTAAGCAGATGAGCAGATGTGAGCCTGTCCTCGGCTCCCCCAGCTAAAGCCTCGCCACGTGGGCCTCTCGGCTGGGAGTCCAGGTCATGGCCTTGCATGTAAGTCGCTCAATAACTTCAATGTGTGAGCTCAGCTCAGACAAATTCCACTGCTCCCTTGCCCGGCACGGCAAACCCAAACACACACATGACCCTCCATCAAAGCCCTGCAAATCTAGAGCCAACCCTGCCTCTCTTACATGCTAGCTGAACCACTAGTTCAATCCTCCAGCCTCAGCAAAAACAGGTTGGAACATCTAGTCGCTGCTTCCCAGCTGACCCGCCAGTTGGTTCAAGACACAACCAGGGTTGTGGCCAGGGGTTAGGCTGTGACAATGTTGCAGCACCTGGACAAAACGGTAATAATTAAGAGAGTGTAGGCAGTTCTCCATTAGCTAAATGTAACCAATGTATCAGAATGCTCTTTCTTCCCAGATTAAGTGCTTCTTATTCTTTATATGTTAAAATGTCCTTTCTTTTATGAAATGATCATGGTGGATTTTGAAGCTGGATTGATTCCCCCCCCCCTAAAATCCTTACTTGGCATCCATGGGTCACCCCTTCAGTTTCTTTTGAAATTTTCCTGGACAGTGAAATCAAAACATTTGGGAACTGTGGAACGAGGCAGTGCCCAGAGCTGTGGAAGGAGGCAGCGCCCAGAGCTTTTTGGTTCTGCAAGTTGGGATGCTGGACGTTTCTTTGGCTAGTCCTGACAGTACATGGCACAGCCCCTCTTTGAGCTATCTCCTCCCCAACTACAGTGTTATTCCACAGGCATCATGGGTGGGCCATTTTTCTCTGGGCCAATCTTTCAAAAGCCAGATATGCACTGGAAGCAGAGTCAGGCGTTACCAAATCTCCAGGCATGGGAATGACAGCTGTCTGCAGTGGTCCCCCAAACTCACGGTGCACTTGTGGCCCCTTAGACTAGACATGAGAAGCACCATCTACTGCATGAGGCTTATCTCAAAGCTCTCTGGTTCTTCAGGGAAGAGAAGCTCTCTGAAGTTCTCCAAGGACTTGGTTATCACCAATCCAAC